TTAGGATAAGAAGTTGGGAACATGGATCCCCCTCATGCCAATGGGGTAGCCTTGAGCTTCCAACTATTATAAAGTCATGTGAAGCTGTGAGGGTTGTTCTTGCTTTGTCTTATGGCCTATATTTCCCTTTTCTTTTCCTTTTTTTTAATAAAAAAGTATTTTTTGTGGGATCCACATCTGGCCACCATCACCAATACGCAGATTGGTGGGTCCTACCATTCCCATTAGATACTTACTGTAGAAAAAAGGCAGCTAATCATTTTCCCAATCAAGAGACTCCCACTTTCACAACCATAAAATCTTCCACCCTTTTCTCTAAAGTCTCCCTCTCCCCGCCATACATACACTACTTGGCACTTGCATTCCCATTGCGAGCACCTCCTTAGACCACAGCCATTCTTTCATGTTCTATTGTTCTTGATTGATTGATTTTCAAACGGTGGGATCTATCAGTAATTATGCACGTATGAATGTGAGAATTTGATGCAGATACAATATTGTTGATTCTTTTAAATATATTTTATCAAAACTAGATATACCCATGTTGAACATATACATGATCTATCTATTGAATATCTATATTCATACTCATATATAGCCATATCTAACATTTTTGTTCATTTTGTAACTAAGATATATAATATTACTAGGTTTGATGCCAGTGGGGGCAATCGGGTTGAAAGAAGGAAGAAAGAGAAATGGGATGATTATATATATGGTGAAATAAGCATTTTGTTATGTCAAGATCACACCTTCATTTTCTAACTTTCAATCACTTGAAAGAGTAAAGGGGAAAAAAGTTGGGGAGGGTGTGGCATCTTCTATGAAATTTGTGGCAGTGTACGTTTTTGGCCAATTTACCTCATTTGGGACCCTATGTTGGATACTTCATTCCTTTCATGGGTCCTATGAGTCTATTTTTTCCCCATGCCATGACAAAGGCTACAGAGGGAATTTTTTTTTTTTAAAAAAAAAAAGAAAAGAAAGAAAAGAACCATTGAAGGATAACGGAGTACTAAAAAAAACGTGTTTGGTTCTTTATTGTTTGTGATAAAAAATGAACACTCTAGAGAAAATAAATAAAATTCTGTGTACATTGGACAATAGTAGATCCTTCAAGCTGCTTGTTCCTTGATTTTTTTTTCCTCCTTTTTATTAACCTATCACACTTTTATATCATATAATTCAAATTAAAAATTTATTTTTTATTTTTACTGAAAAAAATTAATACTAAACTATTAAAGTCATTGGCTATAAATAAGAACTTAAAATACAGGAAAATGTAGAAAGAAGTTAGCAATAAAAGAAAGAAACGAGGGAGAACAGATATCTGTAAAAGAAAGAAATGAAGGAGAATAGATAGCAGTAAATCACCTTTCGCATGCATGCTTTTCTAATTAAATCTCTTTTCCTGTTGCCTGTTGGGTTTACTTAGCAGTAAAAATGTGGAAAGAAGTTAAAGCTAGAAAGAACATATGGCATTACACTATAGTTGTCCGAACACAGCCCCCAAAGCACAGGAATAGAAGTGAAGAAAGAAATGAAGGAGAAGACTTAAGTTATACAACTAAGATATGAATGAAAACATCTTTATGAGTGATGAAAGCAATATACTTGGACTTTCTCTCATCTTGTACTGTTCCATATATGAATTAAGCTTTTGTTTTTTTTCCAATACTTCAATATGAATTAAGCTCAAGGGTGAGAAATTAAGAAAAGCAAATCCTACCAAACATTGGTTCAAGATGATTTGGAAGGATGACCATAAAACTCACTTCCTCAGACAGATTAATTAAGATGATGGAAGCATCTGTCTAATCATGCAGCTATAAGTTTGTTAAATTAGGACTTAGGAAGTTTGGATTGGGTGTTCATGCGCACATGCTTCTGCTTTAACATGAACAGAAACAACCAGAAATGTGTTATGCAATCTACCAATAGCATAATATTAATTTTTGAAACCAATAATCAATTGGTACGAGTAAAAGAAGCTCAGTTTCTCTTAAACAAAATCTAAAATTCAAGTCTTATAAATGAAAAAATAAACGTTGAAAAAACCTTTCCTCATATAAGGTTAAACCCAACTTTATTTCGAATTATTCGAAACCTAATATAACTTCTAAATACCGGAGGATTGGTACCCAAAAAAAAAATTCTTTGAATAAAGAAGGCCCTTGAATGTGAGGGCAACCCTATTTAAACTTTCAATTTTTTCTAATCCAAACTAAAAATAAATAAATAAATTTTTTTTAAAAAAAAAGACATCTATATATACGTATGAAAGAGAAAGAAAGGACAGGACTTTGGGGCATATGAATGTGGCCAGGTGGGTATGGCAGAAGAGAAGGTGAGAGAAATGGGAGTGGGATGGAGATAGACAGGTGGGGGTACTAAAACAATGACGACCAGCTCTTGTAGGGTTATAACAACTAGAGCTTTACTTGCGCTTTTCAATACTTGATCACCCTTTGAATCAATTTGAAAAGGAAAATTAAAGTCACCTCTCTGCTCTGTTAAAAGCAGACTACTTGAATTCAAATATTTAAATATATTTAAGCTAGAATAAGAGAATTTTTACAGAATTACATTCTTGCACCTCTTTACCAATCATGGACAACCCCTGTTAGGTGTTTTTTTAAAACTTAATTTCTTTGATATACTCATGCATATAGGATTCAAATGCATTTTCACTGAGGGGAAGGACTGAAACTGATTTAAAGGATAATGGATGGGAAAGAGCTTGGTCCTAATGCACGATACCTGTTGGTGGGTTAGGTAGCAACTCCTGCCCCCACCCATTGGACCCATCCGCAGATTCCTGCTTCTTCTCTCTCCCTCTTCTGAATTCAATCCCCTCTGGACCTAAAGATACAGCCAACCCATTTTCCTTTATTCCTAAGTAACCTCTTTACCATCAAAAAGTTCCCTTTTCTAAACAACCCAAATCCTCTTTTCTAATTCTAAAAAAAGCAACTCATACATACCCATACATACCGATCTCCTCCTCCTCCTCCTCCTCCTCCTTCTTCCTCTTCTTAAAATAATAATAATAATAATAATAATAATAAATAAAAAAACTACGGCAATCTGAACCCTCTTTCTTATGAGTTCAAT